GGGGCCGCGGGGCCGGGCCGGGCCGGGGGGGCTGCCGCGGGGACACCGCCCAGTTCAGTGCCCCGAGCCCGGCCCCCAGCCCCACTCTCCCCGCAGGACCCTGCTATGATGAGCTCGTCGCTCCTCTCTACTCCTCGTCCATCGGTGCCTCCTCCAGATACAACATCTTCTACTCGTCCAGCTTTGCTCGGCTGCACAGTGAGTCCCCCCGTGGGACTGGGGTGCAGACAGGGCGGGGGGCCATGGGCAAGGGGCGTCCCTGGCAAGGTCTTGCCTCACGTGGGGCTGAGGGGTCCTCAGGTGCCCACGGCAGAGCCCTCAGCATCCCCCGGAGGCAGGGGAGAGCCCTGCAGCCCTCCAGCTCCCACCCGCAGTCTGGTGCTGCAGTGGGGCTGAGCAGGCAGCCCCCGCTCAGCCGGGAGCTGCTGGGTGCCAGGCTGTGGGGCCAGCTGAGCCGCTCCCCCGGCAGGCACCAGTGGCTGGTCCCCCGACCCCCGGGACAAGCAGCCCTGGCTCCAGATCGACCTGATGCAAAAGCACCGGATCAACGCGGTGGCCACACAGGGAACCTTCAACACCTACGACTGGCTGACACGCTACATCGTGCTCTACGGAGACCACCCCACCAGCTGGAAACCCTTCTTCCAGCAGGGCAGCAACTGGGTAGGGGGGTGCCCGGGGGTCCCTGTGGGAGGGGGTCCCCTGGAGGGAGCAGAGACCCCCAGCCCGGAGTGAGGTGCTGACGGCAGCCCTTTGTCCCCAGACGTTCTTTGGGAATGTGAACGAGAGCGGGGTGGTGCGGCATGACCTGCACTACCCCATCCTTGCACGCTATGTCCGCATCATCCCGGTGGCCTGGAACCCGCGCGGGAAGATCGGGTTGCGCCTGGGCCTCTACGGCTGCCTACCTGCCCCTACCGTGAGTACCCAGCCCGGGAGCTCTGGCAGCCCCGTGCGGAGTGGGACCCTGGCCTGGCCACCCGCGTGGCAGGAGGCCAGCCCCTGGCTCCGGCATGCCCGGAAAACACTTTCCCAGAGGGGATTGTGTCCAAGCGGTCTGCAGTCATTAGCTCTGGCATAAACCATAACAGAAAGCAGCGTTCCCTGTGCCAGGGTGTCTGCTGCTGTGGGCAGTGACGCTCTGGCAGCCCCGTGCGGAGTGGGACCCTGGCCTGGCCACCCGCGTGGCAGGAGGCCAGCCCCTGGCTCCGGCATGCCCGGAAAACACTTTCCCAGAGGGGATTGTGTCCAAGCGGTCTGCAGTCATTAGCTCTGGCATAAACCATAACAGAAAGCAGCGTTCCCTGTGCCAGGGTGTCTGCTGCTGTGGGCAGTGACATGGCTGGGGCCGCTCTGCTCTCCCCAGGGTCCCACGTGCTCTACTTCGACGGGGATGACGCCATCTCCTACCGCTTCCGGGCCAGGAAGATCAGCACCCTCGAGGATGACATCTCCTTCAACTTCAAGACGCTGGAGCAGGATGGGGTGCTGATGCACGGGGAGGGCTCACAGGGTGACTACATCACGGTGGAGCTCAAGCAGGCCCAGCTGCTCCTGCACATCAGCTTAGGTGAGCTGGGGCTGGGGGGCTGGGGGGCACGGG